TTATTTTTGCTTAGTAAATTACTCTTCTGTATTTTATTTACTGACAGGCAAATATAAACTTCAAAGTAGCTTCTGAATCTTTCGTTAAACTCATTCAAACTGCAGATAAAGAAGTTGCTGATATAATGATCAAAATGACTCAAAAATCAGCTGAACTTTACAAAGAATTATTACCTTTGTTAGCACATCTTTCGCTCAACGGTAAAACTGTTACAGTTAACAATGTCGACGTTACTTTTAACAAAGATATTACAATGGCTGAGTTTCAAATCATTTTTGATAGTAAGACTTTGAGAGATTAATTATCTAAACTTAATTTTTTTATACTTTAAATAATTTAAAGATTTTTTTATACTTTATACAATTATTTAATAAAATATTTTGCTTTTAATTTTATACTCTAAATATTTAATTAATATTTGTCAATAGTTTTATTAAAACAAGTTCGGAAAATTTTTTAGATATTTTTTATGCATAGAATGATAAACAAGCAGGTTATGATAACTTTAATCATAAAAAGGTACAAAAAGAGTATAATTAACATAACAGATGATAGCTGTTAACATGCAAAATAATTAGGACGGGTCCGGTAGGATTAATCTTAACTATACTTTTAAAACAGACATTTTTAATTTTAACAGAAACAACTTCTTCTGTAACTTTAGAAAATGCTTTTTATAAAAACGGTTTAGGTCCCATTCATCTAACCCCCATTTTTAAATTACACCTTAAAAACATTTATTGAGTTCTTCGCCTGGGATAAAATTTTTTTTATTATAAAAACTTTTGATTATCGCTTTAGTCAAAACATTATCCATTTGTAAAATTATTGTTATTTTAGTATTCATTAAAATATACATTTTTGCTATACATTATTATCTTTTTACAAAATATTTTACAATGAAAACTTTTTCGTGTATATTATTATTAGAATACTTTGTTTAGAGTTAATGCAGTTATTAAAAGGCCTCGAAAACTCGCAGCCAACAGGAACCTCTGATTTTATTGATGTTGCAAAAAATGTCCAGGAAGCTTTCTCAAGAGCTATAGCAAATCCATCTGCATATTCTGACGGTAAGTCAAAAAAAAAACATTAGAATATTTACAAAATTTAAACACTATTTTCAGTAAAAAAAAAGAATATATATAATAAAATCAAAGTAATCGCTTTTTATAATAAATTTGTACTTTTGTACATTTCTACTTAATTTATTTGTACATTTTATACCAATTATTTTAGATTCTTGGCTCAATATAAAAAGTAAACTTCTGGATGCATTCAAGGATGCCAATGCAATTGTTAGAAACTCGGTCATTCAACTGCTTAACATCTACCATAATCGTCTTGAAGAGTTAGCTGATCAACTAGAACGTGTGCTTCAATTGCTACCAATAAATGAAGAAAGTAAGTTTTAACAAAATGTGACACAAAAATTTTTTAATATATAACAGCTATTTCACAATAAAGTTAAAAAAATGTTCATCTATAAAAACTTGTTGGTATATGTAATAGTTTTTTTATAATTTTGGTTAAATTTTATAGCATATTATAAATTTTTGTTTTTGTTTGAACCGAATCTATAAATAGTTTTTATTTTAGAGTGGGCGATTGTCCGTAGCAAAGTTCGTGGCCTTATTAATAAACTCAAGGATAAAGTTACACCAGCTGCAATCAGCAATATTGAATCCGCAGAAAAAACTGCCGAAGCTGACTTTATTTTGGCAATAGAGGAGATATCTAAAGATCAATCCATCAGTAAAAGAAGCATTTCTGATAGTTAGTTATTTTTATATCTAAATTAATTGTTTGTTATTAAAATAATTTTTATTATTACTTATTTAGAATTATTATTATTTATAATTTTAAAAATGTTTTAAACTATTCATATCTGATTTGCAAAATAATTATGCGGGAGTTGTAATATTCCTTTTCGTTTTGTTAAAAGTTTGGTCAAAAGTTAAATCGGCTGTGGGCAAATTAGGAGACTCAATTAAAGATGCAACAATGAAAGTCATTGAAGAAAACAAGCCAAAAGTATTGGAACAACTTCAAACTCTCAAAATGGTTGTAGTTGATGCAGCCAAAAATATTGTCATTAGAATCAACGGAGCAATTATAGAAGTCATTGTTGGAAACCTTTCCGCGATAAGTTAACACTGCCACCTAATAAAATTTATAATACAAAAAATTAAAAATGTATTGGAAAGTTAAAATAAATTTATTTAACTAAAATTTTGAGACTTTTATTTGAAATTTTATAAGAAAAAAAATTCTGTTCAGTCATCTATATATGTTTATATAGAATATATAGATTCTTTATATAGAATATATAGATATTCTATATAAAGAAATACAGAAGTTACACAGCATACATTAATAAACTTGGGAAAAGTAAGATATTTTAAAAATAATAATAATCATAATAAATGGGGAGATATTGTTTATTTATTTATGGGGAGATATTGTTTATTAAATTATGCTGAAAAAATTTTCAGCATAATTCTTTTATTATCAAAATCTTTTAAAAAACGTAATTCTTAATTTAAAATTGTGGATCATTTTTGCAAAAAAAAACTTAAATCTAAAAAGTTTTAGTTATATTCAGATACCGTAACACTTTAACAAACCACTGCACTTATGAACACTCAAGTTAAAAAATTACTTACTATTGTTTGCAAGTTGTAATGAACCCCACTAAGTGTCCTCTGGTCTCAGTGTCAATTCAGGAGTCTGTGGCAATTGTCCTGACTGGATACTCTGAGAATAGTCCTTATGGGATAACACAATGGGATACTTTAAAAAGATACCCTGGTGTAGACCCAGAGTGGAACTTCTTTTGGGATATCAGTCTCGGATGAAAAATGGAGGTCTTCATGTGTTCATACTGTACCATAAGGCACGAATCCATACTGTACTCGAGACGTTCATGACACACTTATGTCTATATTGTATTTTTATCACCCTAATAATACAGTCTACATGATAACTACTTGATAATTACATGATAACTACATGATAACCACTCCATTACCAATTCTGCCTATACATCATATTTACGCTACACACTAACAACAATTTAGTAGCACAACAACTCATGACTCTTAATTTCCTTGACTATTGTTTATTGTTCTTATTTATTTTTTACAACATTTTATTTATATCAGTTTTTAGTATTTTTCTACTTTGAGGCTCTTTGCTTTCCTCTGGACATCTGTCCCTTTGTACTTTTATCTCACCCTGCTAAACTCTTTTTAACTTATTATTCATCCCTGAGGCGTTCACTGCTCGGCGCAATTTTACTAAAATGCATTGCATTTACAAAAGTCTCTTTTCATAATCTCTTCGAAAAGGTTTCTTTACATTTTCCTTTAATAAAAACTGTATTAATTTTACTACGTTGTTAAAAGTATTTTTTTCTTAGTAAAGTATATTGATTTATATTATGAAAATGCCAAAAACGTTTACTAGAAGACCGGGCTCCAGAAAATATGTATATTATTTTCCAAAAAAGCTCTAAAATTAATGAAGGTTAAATGAGCCAGAGAGAAGTATAAAAACATTTTTGTATATGTAAAACTACCATCCAAAATAAACTAAAACTAAATCAAAAGCCAGGGCATTCTACAACATTTAGTGTTTCGGAAGAATCAGCTTTTGTTTCTCACATGTTGACAGTGTCTGAGTTCCCTGTGGATGAACTAGGTTTTAGCTTTATTGTAAAGGATTACCTCTCATCGCAAAATAAAACTATTCCACAGTTCAGAATTAATTTTCCAGTAGGGTAATTCCAAGTCAAATTAGCAAAAAAAAAACAAAAAATGTCACCCCATGTTTTGAATTTTGCTTATTTTTTTTATATGTTAATTAAGAAAATCTGAAATTTTGAACCTCCAACCCCTTAAGGTTCTTGAGATTTTCAGAATTCAATTTTCTTATTCATACTGATTCAAAATGCGTTTTTGTTGTTAAACAGCAATATTTTATGAACGAAATGAGGTATCATCCTGAAATTTTGTACATAGATAATCTTCCACATGGCGCATAAAAATTTTAAATTGAAATATTTTTTGACTACCATGATTACATATAAATTAGAAAATATAGGCATATATTTTCGACGGTCAAAATGATGATGTCACCTTGATAATTTTTTTAAAGGAATTGTTATAACTTACAATATAGGTTTCAAAAATCACTATTAATTAAAAGTATATTACTGCATTTTTCAACTTTTCTAAATGGCTTTTAAGTAAAGCTTATATGAATCGCTATCTTGAAAAATGGGACATGTTATGTGAACTTTTGCAGGACATGTCCTTTTTTCGAATTAGCGATTCATATATATTCAGAGTTAGCTGAGTCAGCATAAAATATATTTTATGCTGACTCAGCTAACTTATGATATCTTAATTTAATGTTGTAAAAAGATATTGTTAAAGTCTTTTTGGGTATATAATAAATAAATTTATGCTTTATTTTTATTTATTTATTTTTTGCACCGGGGAAGGGCTTATGGTCTAAAGAAGAGGGGGCTATAAAGCATTTTACCAACCCCCCTATTTTTAAATTTTTTTTTTGTTAAAAACATAAAGCCAAGTTACTAGGAGAATTATTTAGCCAAATTGTGCCAATTACACAAATTCACATGAAGTTGTATCTTAACCAAATTTGAAAAAATAACATACACTGTTAAAAAAATATCGCGTTTTTTACGGAAATTTCCGGCAGCAAATTTTCCAGAAAGTTTCCGTTGTTTTACGGAAAAATAAAGTGTTGAAGGAAATTTCCGTACAAATTACGGAAAATATCTATCATCGTAATAACAGATATTTCCGTATTTAAACGGATATTTCCGTTTACATGTGACTGATTCTTCGGCAAATTTCTGGAAAATCTGCTGCCGGAAATTTCCGTTGAAAGCGCAAAATTTACTTTACAAAAAAACTCTTCTAAAAATGTATTCCTTAAACGATAAAAAAAAATTAATAACATAAATATATTCTGCAATTATTAATGTCATAAGTTGCTCTAAACATTGCATAAAAAAAAGTTAAATAAAAATTTATATATATATATATAGATATTATATATATGCTTTTAGAACAAATAACTGTTATCTTTCTTTCTTTTTGCGTTTTTTCTCGCATTCTCTTGATTATAGCCAAACATATCTCTAAACACAAAATAAATTACATAATCATGACATAGATTATAAATTAAAATCTGTGAAATTAAGAAAGATAAGCATATATTGAGAGCCTTCTTTTACTTTTTGCATAAGCTTATTTTTTCTTTTTAAATTTTTTTAAGCTTACATATTATTGTATAAGCTTTCGCATAAGCATTTTTCGAAGATTTTATATGCTTATAATATAAACTTTAGCTGCTTTGAAAAATTTGTTTTTACCTTAGAATCAACACCAGTAATCTATTAACATTATGATCGTATCTTGTGTTTTTGATATGATGGACCATAAATAAATTCATCAAATGGTAGACCACAAGCAAAATTATCAGTTTAAAAATAACAATAAAAACATTATTAATATAATATAATAAAAATTAGTTTAAAAAAATTAAACGAACTCTTTAACTTTTTATTAAAATATAAATATTATTATTACATTTATATATATATATATATATATATATATATATATATATATATATATATATATATATATATATATATATATATATATATATATATATATATATATATACATTTACTATTTTTCTCTCTACATAGTATCCAGATTCAATACCATGCTTTTTCAGTGCTTCCAGATTCCATATTTATACTTTATGCTTTGTGGATTTTAATTTTTTAAACTTTCCATATTATAGCCAACCATATACCTAACAACACAAATATAAATGCTTTATACAAATGAGTGAAATAACAAATGAAAATATAAATACAGCAAAATCACGAATACAAATGAAAATATAAATACAGCAAAATTGTAAATCTTTGTCCGGAGTTTAAGACATTCAATTCTTAAAACAAAAAATATATTGCTTGTTTTAAGAAATAAACTTCCTATCCTGCAATTTATTTCTTAAAACAAGAAATATATTTCTTAAACTATAAACACTAGATTAACAATATTGCTGTAAATCTTAAAGCAAGAAAAAAATTTCCTACACTGTAATTTATTTCTTAAAACAAGTAATATATTTCTTGTTTTAAGAAACAAATTGGGGGATAAGAAATTTATTTCTTAAACAAGATAAATATTTCTTGTCTAAAGAACTAAATGTCTTAAAATATGGACTAAGATTTAAGATTTTGCTGTGAAGAAATGCTACTTGTAATACTTTTCATCAGTTAAAGATTTATTGTTCAAGATTTATTAGTTAAATTTTATGGATTACTTGGCATTAATTAGAAACTGTTTTAAAATATCTTTTTTCTTCTTAAATTTTTTTTTTTCACATTACTTTGTTAAAACTTCAATGAAAAAAAAATTTTTCTTCTAAAAAGAAAATATACACTTTTATCTCTTTTTCTTTACGTATGAATGTATCTACATATAGAGTATGCAGTGACTCCTACATCAGCACAACTTGCTCACTTCCAATTAACTCTAATTGATTCCATAGGCAATCATATATCCTGCAATTGAAGTGCACGCAGATGGTTTCAGAAAATAGAGAGTGTGATCCTTCATATATTGCTATCAGATCTAGAAAACATTGTTTTATTTTATGTTGCAGATTTTAAAATATTTTAAGATATTGTTAAAAACATTTCATACTTTTAAATTTTGATTAATTATATCATTAACTATAAATACTAATATATAAATAATTGTGCAATTTAAATAAATTTTTTGGATAAAAAATCTAAAACACTAAAATATTAAATAAGAAAGAAATATAAAATGCAATTTTGAAATAACAAGTAAAACATTCCCAAATTTTATTTATATAAAAATACATAGTTTATACACACACACATATAGTATATGTGTGCATAAACTATGTTTTTTATATAAATACATATGTATATATACATATACTATATGTATGTATGTATGTATGTATGTATGTATGTATGTATGTATGTATGTATGTATGTATGTATGTATGTATGTATGTATGTATGTATGTATGTATGTATGTATGTATGTATGTATGTATGTATGTATGTATGTATTTATGTATGTATGTATGTATGTATGTATTTATATATATATATATATATATATATATATATATATATATATATATATATATATATATATATATATATATATATATATATAAAAGGTTAGCAAACTAAGCTAAGATCTTAGGATGATGTTTACATTTGATAAGTTCTGCAAAAATAAATGTACTATAAAACCATCATTTAAAGTAATAAATCTCAAAATCACTTTAGTAAATAAATAAATACTTCATAGCATTTACTCTACAAGAGATATGCATACTAAAATACGAAGAACATTCAAGCCTTACACCTACAACTTAAATTTATTATATTATATACTAAATGACTAAATACTTTTCTAACTAAAAATGCATCATATTTTCATTTCTGGAAGTTATTCTGATACACCGAAGCACTTGAATTTTGAGAAAAATATTAAATATAAATCCAGAATGATTTAACAACAATAGACAAAACAAACAATACCTTTAAAGCAATAACTTAAGGCCTTCACATTTTATTTATTTGTTGGAAATTACCATTTTTATTTTTAATCCATACTATAGAGCATCACTTGATTCTATAGTATCAACAATAACTTACTATATATAGCCTTTTTACAATGTTGGACTGCTAGAAATAAGGTTTACGTTCAAAATCTTTTAGTGAACTGATCAAAACTGTATGTTTTGTATTTAAATTGTATGTAAAACTGATTTAGTTTTAGTAAGTAAAATGTAAAACTGATTTAGTTTTAGTAAAAAGATTTTGAAAATTGTATGTAAAATTTTTACATACAATTTTCAAAATCTTTTAGTGAACTGATCAAACTTTTTCTAAAAACAATCAGAAATAATAAAAAAAAAATGATAGCAGATGTATTTATTTTATATTGAATTTTACTATTCTGCATGACTATCCTGCATGAATATTATAATCAAATAAATTTAATAATGTATTCTAATCATAGTTGTATTTTCTGGGGTAATCTTTATAAATTTGTTTTAAAATTTTTTTTTTTATATTTATTTGTAGATAACTTAAATAACTTATTTATAAAGATATTGTAATTAAATATTAATAAAAATGTAAATTGTTATAAAAAGTTTTTAAAACGATGAGAAATTCATCGGTCGGATCATACAAAAGCACTAGTGCTTAAGTCGCGGCTGTTTCACGCAATGTAAAATTGGGCCTTACGTCACGAGTTAAAAGTTTTTTAAAAATTTTGGCATATAAAGTATAAAAATTCAATAACTTTAAAGTAATGGTTTTTTTTTCTATAAACGTTTTAATCTTCGAATTAAAAAAATTTACAAGAATTATCTTTCTTCGTTAAATAAATATTTACCTTAAGCGAAATAAAAATAAACATTGTTAAAATATTTTAAATGATTTTGGATGACTTTTCTGTTTTTGGCGATTTTTACGGAAAACCTGTCTTGGGGCAACCAAGATTCCCTAACATAGCTACATGGTTGATAATTGAAATTTAGAACACTTATCATTGAATGTCTATTCTATCAGATTCCTACGTCATCCGTGTGATTTTATTACTATAACTCAATTTTTAATGCAATTATATTTTTAACTTTATTTTTTTTAAATGTAAAACATTAATTTTTTGATGGATGACGTAAGTTATTGAAATTTCAACCTTTTATGTAGAGGAAAATATAAAAATTATTTTATGTACCGTTTGCTATGTTAGGGAATATGCTTTTAAACTTGGCATGTTTTACAACAAATTTTACGCTTTAACTTGTGTTAACATTTCTAAGCGATGACGTAACTTTATTGCGTTACTTACCAAGCTATTTACTAACGAATTTTATTGAAATAACTGTTTCGGCGAGACAAATTTTGGAGGTATAAAGTAAAAAAAATTACGCGGAACTTTAGAATAACATAAGAAATTCAGCAAGATTATGAAGAGTATTTTCGTTACGGAATGGAAATGAAACTAATATCAATTGCATGTACAAATATCATTTACTACTTATATAACATATACCAGTATATTAACTTAAAAAAATATATTTATGACAATCCACAAAAACAAGTTTATTTAATTGCCTTTATTGTTATGTATGTTTATAAAAAAAATGATGTGTTATTTTTGTACAGAAAAGTATTAATATTATTTTAAGTGTAAAGAAATTATACGACCGAAATCAAAAACAAATAAAAACTTTTTTTTAAATTTTAAAAAAAAAAAAAGTTTTTTTTAAAAAAAAAAAAATATTTTTTGGGTTTTTTTTTTCCCGCTAATTGTAGTGCCTGTATCAGTTCACATTTGGTGTAAATAGAGTTTATATGTTTTAAAATTGGTCTAACTATGTTTATATTACATATAACTCAACATAAATAAAATTTTTCCGATTATTTTTGCTAAAAAGTACCATAAAAATTTCAAAATTTAGCCAAGTTCGTCGTTTATCGCATTTATTCGAAAATCAAAGCGGTCTTTGAATATTTCATTAAATGTTAAAACATAAAACATTTAATTGGTGTTCGTATTCTTTTTACAGAACGAAATTATCTTAAATATTTCAAAAGTTATGCAAGTTTTAGTAACACCCCTTAACTAATTATTTTGAAAAAATAACAAGAAGCCGTAAGTCCACCTTGAAACAGCCGTGAAGTAGTGCTATTTTAAAATTTAGTTATTTTAAGCTACATATTTTAACATGTGAACTTTTTTTCCTTGGCTTTGAAATGATCCATTTTATATATAACATGTTATGTGAGTGCACTTCCATAAATTTAAAATCACTCAAAATTGAACTAAGAATGCACAAGTCTTGTGTCAAGAACCCTTCTAAACATAGTCTTGTTCTAAGCAACCCAGGGACCAAATAAAGCTCATGTAATTTTAAAATTAAAAAGAACAGAACAGTTTATATTAAAATGCCTGGTGAACTTTCTTCGCCCTGCAGGTGAAACTTCAGAACTTATTTTTGGAGATAAATGCGTACATAAAAATAACTTTTAAAAATCTTCAACATATAAATACAACGGAAATTTCCGTATTTGAAAATTTAGCTACAATTACGGAAAATTTCCGTACATAATCGATAGATACATCCATATATGGACATACGGATATTTTCCGTTAAAATAACGGAATAAATTTCCGTTTTTTTAACGGAAATTTTTAACAGTGTACAAATATAAAAATAATAATGCATTAGAATTTTTTTTATAATTCTTTATTATTTTTTTTAATAATTTTTTCTAACTCAGTTTTTGAAATTTTATATATGCGACCATATTTTGTAGATAGGACCATATGGTTGCATAAATTAAATTTTATAATCTCCTTCTCTTTTATCTTTTTTGATTATAATTCCAATCCACCATTAATTATCATACTTTCAAGCTACTTAATCCATATGACTATAAATAACCT